GTGCTCCAAGTCCACCCCCAGGGCTTGCCCGGTCCCCAGGCCTGGCCTGGGAGCCGGCTCACCTGCACCACCTACTGGCCACGCCAGTGCTGTTCTGCTGTTTTCTAAGCCACCTTCCAGCCAAGAGCTGCAGGAGTCAGAGCCCACACCGGCATGCACTCACCAGCTGCAGGACCTTAGACGTGACTTAATCTCATTAAGAAGAGCCTCAGTTTCCTTGGCTACCAAACAGGAATGAAAGCACTTGCCCTACAGAGCTGTCTTGAGGTTTAAATGAAATCACAAATATATGCCCAGCACAGAGTGCAGAGAGAAAAGACCACTGAATGCTATTGGGCACTCAGCCCTCCCAAGTATCCACTTACGATGTTCATGCTGTGCATCTGGTTTGACCCCAGGTGGGTTTCCTTTTCTCCCTCCATCCTCACACCTTGGGCCACTTCCCCTCCTCCCCCCTCCCCTCATAGGATGAGCCAGTGGGAGCTCAGCAGGGACAGGCCACACAAAGCCCCTGTGTTTGGCACCTGTTCCTAGACAAATCACCAGACAATCATAGCACCTGCTCCCAGACCTGTGATCTCATGTCTGCAAGGTCTGCTTAGCACCTACTATGCACCAGGAGCAGGTACAGACATGAATGGGATAAGCATGGTCTCTGCTCTCATGTGGCCTATAATCTAATGGGAAAGTCAGACAATAAAACCTGAGGGAGCCTGGCCGATCTGGCTCTGCGGTTAGAGCGTCGGCCCTCGGGCCAAAGAGTCTCAGGTTCGATTCCAGCCAAGGACACCTACCTGTTACTTTACGTCCCCGGTTGGGGTCATGCGGGAAGCAACCAATCAATGTGTGTCTCACATCTATGTTTCTCTCTCTCTCTTCCCCCTTCTCTCCCTCCTGCTCTTTCTGAAGATAAATGAAAAAATATCCTCGGGTGAGGATTTCAATAAATAAATAAATAAATAAATACCTGGGGGTTGGGGGTGGGGGTGGGGTGAGGAGAGAATTACCAGAGAAGGAAGAGGAGAATGTTAATTTGGGAGCTTCAGGAGCCAAACTCTTAGAAGAAGGGCCATGTGAGCTGAGCACTGGAGGATGAGTAAGAAATATGCTCCCACCAGGCAGCATCAATCTTGGGTACCACAGGGCTCCTGGCCATTGTGAGGGGAATCCTCAGGTCCCTGCCATGGGGAGGTACTGTTTACTCCTGCCCGCTGTGAAATGTCCCTCTGCCTCCTGGCTATACCTCCGAGATGCCCGCCTCCCCCCGCCCACCACCCCTCCCATGCAATAGCACCTTTGTCTTTCAGAGCAGGCTCTTCTCCTTGAGGTTCTGCCCTCAGCCAGCCCCACCTGGCAGAACCTGCTGGACCAGAAACACACCTGCCCGTCTGAGACACTGGAAAACACGCACCTTCTGCAGATCAACCCCACCCTTGCATGTCTGCCCCTCCTTCCCGTCCCCAGCATTCCTGGCCGCCTTGGGGCAGGTAGGGCTTGGGGTGGGGGCAGAGTGGCGCCGATTGGCGGGAGTCGGCAGGGCTAAGCCCAGCCCCTTGTCCCACTGTAACTTCTAACTGCCATATTCCAGAGCAAAGGAGAGAGGCAAAGGCAGGGACCGGCACAGAAGCAGAAGGGCAGGCGGAGAGAAAATGAGAAGCTCTGAGGGCAGAGAGTGAGGCAGGTGGGAGGAGGAAAGTCGGAGACGGGCAGAGAGGGGCGGGGGCGGGGGCGGGGAGAGGGGGTGGCGCAGAGACAGACAGCGGCGCCTGGAAGACTAAGCTGGGGGAAGAGAGGCCCGGGAGAGGAGGAGCCAGAGAGCACCGGTGGAAAGCGGCAGGGCCTCGGGGAGCAAAGGGCTCCTGGCGGGCCCGCAGGCCGCTGCTTCCCCAGGCTGCGGTTGCCAGTGAGGTCACAGAAAGCTCTGCTGGTGGCGCCGGGGCCTGGGGCCTGGACAGTCTTCCCCGGATCTCGCACGGATGGGAGGGTGCGGGAGAGCAGGGGAGTGGACAGTCTTCCCCGGATCTCGCACGGATGGGAGGGTGCGGGAGAGCAGGGGAGTGTGGCCTGGGACTGAGCCGGGTTCACCCATGAGAAATCTGACAGGCTGCAGCAGTGGGTGGGTTTCATGCAGCACGAAGACACGGGGATTCTGCACTCTGTGACAGACGTCCCAACAACAGCGAGGGGAGAGCTGCCTCGGCTCAGCCCACCCTGCCGAGCGAGTCTTACCCCTCCGTTCTCCAGCCGCCTAGGCGACCCCCAGTGCGCTGGGCCCTGTGGATACAGAGACTGGCAAGGTGCAGGCACAGCCTTGGCGTCCAGGTCGGGAGGAGGAAGGCGGGGGCTACCAGAGAGCCCAGGCCAAGTCCGGGGCACCTGGGGGAGGCGGTGGCACTGCTGGTCTGGAGAAGCAGGAAGCCTCTGGAAAAGCGCCTCGATAAGTGTCTTAAAGTCTGGTGGAACTGGGAAGAAGAGGGAGGCTGGGACAGGGTGGGCAACGGCCCCAGTAGGGGCCAGCCCAGGAGGGAAGCCTGCAGTGCCCCTCGGGCTCATTCTGTGGGAAAGGGAGGTTGGAGTGAGGTCGTGGACATCCCTAACTGCACTACCCTGCCGCCACGGAGGGCCACAGAGTGATTTTGACCGGAGGAGCGGTAGGAGCTGTGTGGTGCTCAGAACCGGAGTGTTCCTCCCTTCACTTCACTCGCCGGGTGAACCGAACAGGTCGCTGTGCCCTTTGGGTTGGCTTTTCTGTGGACTAGGGGACTTTGCCAGATTGGTGTTCTATTCTGGAGCCAAAGAAAGGTTCATTTGGTGTCATTCGTTTGTTTTTTTTTCAAGCTTATGGTTGTGAAAAACAACTGACAAGATGAAGTCTGGACACGTGCCCACGCACACGCACACGCACACGCAAGCACCCTGACAAGGGCTGTGAAGGGGACCTGTGCCGCCTCCGTCGGGCTCCTCAGACCTGCCCGACCTACGGCCCAGCAGGTCCTCCCTGCTCATATCAAGGTTTGGGCTCAGCCTGCTCTCACCAGCCTGGGCCAAACTGCCCCCAGGGCGGCTGAGACTGGTGCCCACGAAGGCAAATCCTTCCCACCACAGTCACACAGGAGAGTCATAGCAACAATCACAACAATAGCAACAAGGGTAACAATACCTCCCCGGCCTTGAATGACACCATTGCTATGTGCCAACTGTACATTCTAAGGCCCTAACACATTTCATTCACTTAACCCTCACCACGGCCCTCTGGGGGCAGGCGTTAGCACGAACCCACTTTGACCGGTTAAGGGACTGGGCAGGGTCTCTCTACACAAGGAGGCAGAGGAGGAACTGCAAGGATTTGCCTTGAAAAGGCACCTGCTAGCTGAGGACTCGGAGTTTACTCTGATTGTGCCTTTAAGACCAATAAGTACGTAATGTTGAGAAGACAATATTCCGGACCATGCAACGGTGTTGATTTGAGGAGGCTTGGTGAGTGCTGATGGAAGTGGGAGAGTCCACAGCCCCCTTGTCCAAAGCCGGCCTGGGCCGGGGACTCGGGGCCCAGCGGGAGCCTGAGCCTGAGGGGCTGGATCAAAGGGAGGAGCCCTGTGTGGCAGAGGGTAAGGAAGGCTAAGCAATCCAACGGGCAGTTCCTTTCATGGGACCGTTTCTCAGCATCTCACGTCCATCCCTACGGCCACTTCCTGCGTGAGGGGCTGTTGTAAGAGAAGGCGACACCCTGACGGCTGAGGCAGGCTCCCCTAGGAAGTCTGCCCACCGGGCACCCCAGGGGAGGGTTGGGCTGGTGGGAGTCTCTAGTAGAGTGACAGCCCCTCCCAGGGCTTCTCCCGGACCCCTCCCTCGGGCTGTGTCAGTCAGCAAGGGGCACTGAGTCTCTTGGGCCTACTTAACCCTCCAGATGACCCGAGGGCAAGTGACAACTGGACAGGGAGAACCAGTGAGACCTGAGGGCTGGTCTTTGAAGCTGTTAAAGCTGTAAGAGAGGTGAAAGGCTGGACGCAGTGAGAGTAGAAACAGCAAAGGTATGGCGGTGGGGGGGCAGTCCATGGTGGTGGCTCCTATCTCTCCCCTTCCTCCTCCTCCCTTTGTTTCCAGATCAGGACAAACAAGAGCCGGCTCCCGTGTGTCTGGTGACCAGCACCAGTCCGCCTTGCCTGCGACGCGGGGCGGGCCAGGCGGACGCGGCAGTGGCGTGGGACTTGCGTGGACTCAGCCCAGGCCTGGGTCTGAAGGAGCGGCAGTCCCTGCCCTTGGGGAGCCCTGGGACGATGGGGACAGGGGAACCTAGAGACATAGCAACCATCACAGACAAGCGACCAGAGCCGGCTCTGAAACTGGGAAGGAATGAGAACAGAGAATGCAGGCAAGATGGGGAGCTGTCCAGGAGGGGTTCCCCAGAGGGGATGATGAGCAAATACAAAAGGGCAGCAGGGACTTGGATCGACTCATTCATTTATTCATCCATTTCTTCCACAAATCGCTAGAGCACCTACCGGGTTTCAGGCACCACTGATGAGGAAAACTGGGCAACCTCACAATCCAGTAGAGACATTAGACACGTCTAGAAACAAAAGTCCTGAACAAGGGCTGCATCCAAGTGTGGACAAGTCAGGGAGAGGGGCAGGGACACTGACCAGAGTCCTGTGTGAGGCTCGGGGCTGCTGGCAGACAGCAGGGAAGAGGGGCACACACAAAGGAGCAAGAAGTTGAAGAGCGACCTGCCATTGTGTCACCAGGCTGAGGAGGTGGCACTCGGGTGAGAGGAGGGTGAGGAGGAGGGGAGGCTGGCCCAGACTAGGTGCCTCTACAGGGACCTGGGGTCCACTGGCGGATGCCAGCAGGAGACGACCACACCATCCTGAGACCGGAAGGATGCAATGGGGCTGGCAGGAAGGGGACATGAGGTGTTAGGCCAAGGTGGAGGGTGAGGACAGGGGGCCCACAGCCCATCGGGGAAGCTGGCGGAGAAGTCTCAGAAGGAGCCGGGCCCCTCACTGTTTGAAGTGAGGCCAGGTGCTGATGATGTCATACAAAGCCTTCCCAGGAGACAGGGTTGCGCTGACATCACTGTGCCCCACCAGCAGGTAGCTGGGAGTCAGGTACCCCTCGCCCACCGCACACTGGATCAGGGTCTGCGCTGCCTCCAGCGCTGCGGCATTGGGTGGCTTTTCTGCAAAACGCCAGAATATACCCGTCAAACACCAGAGTCTCCAGTTTACTTGCATAGGGCAGGGACAAGCACCTCCATCCGAGTCTCCCTCTGCCCGGCCCCCACCACCACAGCCAACAAATCCCCATGATCCGTGTCAGCCAGGCACAAGCTCATCGTGGCCCCTGGTTCCTCTTTGCAAAGCTTCTCCTGGAAAGTGCAGAACTGCCCTGGACAAGAGCTGCAGGCACCGTGCGGCAGGCACCGACTGTCCATGCTTTGCCATAACAGGCAGTGATGCTCCGCAACACTGTTGCCATGGTTACCAAGGAAGAGGCTCGATTTGCTGACTGAGCCATAAAAGCACCAAGGTTTGCAAAAGATTATGTTTTCTCTTGCTCCAAGCTTGCCTTGGTCATGGCTATAAAGATAGAAGGAACTGGGTATGGAGATGAGCGGATTTGGGGGAAATTTTCTGCCTGGGAGGGACCCCTGGGTGACCTGCATCCTTTACTGAGTCCCTGGAAGCTAAAGTGTGCCACGGACACTGTCAGGCACCACACGTTTCCTTTTGCCCCATGCTCCCCAGACATCCCGCATGGTGCTTCATCACCCCGAACCCCTCCGCCCCACAGTCACTACTTACCTACAAAGTTGCCCATGAAGGCAATCCCCAGGGCAATATCATTGTAGCCATAGGTGTGAGCGCCTTGGGTGTGCCAGCCAACTCCTTCATACACACCACCATCCTGGCCCACCAGGAAGCTAGGATCGGGCAAAGAAAAATGGAGACAGTCACTCTGGGAAGAAGAATTGGCTTCATTCACTCCCTGAATCATCCATTCATTCCTGCATTCATCATATATTGACTGAATGTTTCTTATGTGCTAATATGCACAGAGACAAAACAGAGAAACAAAAGCAGAAAACAATCAGTCTCTGAACCTGAGAAGTGAGGTCAGACGATGACAAGCAATTACAGCAACTTCAGTCCACGGCGACACGGCCTTTCTCCCCATAAGGCCACTGACTCTGACTCTCCAAGGTGCCCAGTGACCACCTTGACACTAGTACAGTGGAAACATATTTCTCTACTGGGTCACGCAGGCCCTGCTGACCACTTTCTACTTGAGATGTTCTCTTCCCTGGGCTTCCACGACCACACCCTCCCGATTCTCCTCGACTCTGCTGCTTTCCCTGGGGTCCCTCTGCCACCCCCTCCCTTTCCTAGAGGTGGTGCTCCTCTGGGTTCGGGCCCAGCCCCTTCTGTCTCTTCAGCATGTTTTTCCTGCACGATCATCCAGTCCCCTAGCTTCAATGACTATTTATCAAACCCAGCTTCATCTGCAGTGTCCTCAGCCAGAAAAGTGGGCATCGTCCTGAATGCCTCCCTCTCCTCCCCCAGCCCCACCGATCATGAGTCACGCCTTGTCCATTACATCCCCACTTGTGTCCAGGCCGCCGCCACCTTTTGTCTGGATTACTGCAACAACTCCCTGCTCAGTGTGTTGCCTCCTTCCAACCCGGTCTTAAATTAGCATCTGGAGTGGTTTTGCTAAGATATGAATCCTATCATAGGGCATGACCTTCCAGTTGCTTTCAAGTAGTCAGGACCCCCTTCAGGGTCCTATGTGACATGGCTCCTGTTGGCCTCTGCAGCCCCACCTCTCGCCTTTCTCCTCTGATATCTGCTTCTATGTATGAGTCAAAGTTCTTCAGGTCCTCAAAGATGCGTGTTCCGTCTGGAGCCCAGGCCCTGGCGTCTGCTGCTCCCTCACCTGGGACACTTCTTGCCCCTCTCAGCCTGACTAACCCCCACTCTATCCATGTCCCAGCTTGGATGCCCCCTTACCGGGAGCTCTTCCCTGGTACATTCGCTCTCCCAAAACCTTGCTAATGATTCTTCCTGGTCCTGTCCTGCTGCCCACTCATGGCAGTGCCTAACTCTGACTAGCCGTCTCTGGTTTACTCTCTCCTCTCTCTCCTCCACAAGGGAGGGAGCCATGCTTCTCTTCCGAGCACTGGGCACAGAGCACACACCCAACGGATACCGGTTGCAAAGTGAGAAAGTAGTGAGTGGGGTTGATTTGTCTTGATTACAATCCACAGCAGGACTGGAGATGCATCACGAGGCTGGAGGGTGAGGGGGCACCATAACAAGCTTTGAAAGTCAAGGAATGGGGATCGAGTCCCTGAAGACTGAATGAGAAAGGAAGACTCTGGCATTTTCCAGTTAGGATTTTCAAATGTACAGTCCACGCCCTTTCATCTGTGCTAAACAGTCCTGGCGAGGCTGAGGAAAGGCCTGCAAAGGGCAGCTTCCCCTGTTTGCAAAGGCTGCTTTGACCGTGGGAGTTCAGAGGAGAGGCAGCAAAACAAGACACATCTGCAAAAGCTGAGAACAAGACACTTGAGACTTTGCAAAGCTGTTGTGATTAAGTCATAGATGAATGACTACAATTTGTCTTCCTCTAAGCCTACATCCCTTCTGTGAAATTCCAAGGCATCTTCTATTTAGCTTCTGCTATCCCATTAGCTCAATGTGTTTCTTTATGATAGACCTGGCGTTAAAGAAACCAAAAAAAAAAAATTCTGATTTCACTCTGTATCTTCAAGTAGATATAGTACTGTTGTCCCAATTATAGAGATGGAGCTAATGAGGCCCAGAGAGGTTAAAAGCTCCTGTACGTGTAAAGTGGAGTAAATAGTACCAGAGACATTGCAGGATTCTAACACCAGAAGGTTAGTTGGGGTTGGGCCAGAACTAGAAAGAGAGTGAACAGGGCCTGTGTCTCGCAGTGGTTGGAAGGGATTACATTAAAAAGGCACAATCTGCCCAGCCGGAGTAGCTCAGCTGGTTGAGCATCGTCCCGTGAATTAAAAGGTCACTGATTTGATTCCTGGTCAGGGCACATGCTTGGGTCGCTGGCTCAATCCCCAGTAGGGGGTGTGCAGGAGGCAGCCGATGGATATTTCTCTCACATCCTTGTTTCTCTCTCTCCCTCTCCCTTCCTCTCTCTCTAAACTAAAATACATTTTTTTTTTTTTTTAAGGCACAATCCTTCCATGGTCTTCCATGTAAGGGTCTCACAGTTTTGCTTTATCACTACGGCTTCTAATGCCTTTCTTTCAGAGTCTTCCCTCAAGGCGAGCATGCCCGGGAGAGAGAACGAACACTTCAGCTGTGTCCGAATGATAGTCCAGTGAGATACGTCTTATGTAAAGCACCAGGCACAAAGGAAGGGCTCAGCAAACATCGGCTCCTGCCCCAGCCTTCCTCCCTGTGGCCTTGAAGGAAAGGAGGACCACATTTCCACCGATCCCACTTACTTATATCCAACGTCACAGAAGTTCACTTTGTCCATGTGGTAGGACTGTGTATCTCGGACGCGAACCTGACAGTCCATGGGTGTGTTGCAGGGTGTCCCGGCAGTGTGGACAATGATGACATATTTGGCTGGGAGGTTCATTTTAGGGCAGTAGGTCTCTCTGGCTTCCCAAGCTGACCGTGGGATGATGTTGGGACAAGCTGTAGTGAGATGAAAAACCAAGGCCACAGGCTGGGCCTGTGCCCACACGTGGACACTCACACCACTGCAGGCGGGCTGCTCCTCCCCAACCTCTGGCCCCAGGGCACTCCTAACATGAACCCAGCTGTGGGCTCGGGAAAGGCTATAGGGACCGTCTGGGTCGAGTGGCTGCAGCCAACGGACAGAGGTAAAAATCTACAGGTTCTGATTATAGCTATGGAAAGAGAGTGTGAACAGAAGAGAAAGAAATGTTGATCATACGGAGTCGTGGCCATTTTTTTCAAAAGACAAGCTGTATCTACCTACCTGCTTGAATACGCATTGCAATTATATGCAGGTGTGGGTACTTATTATGTAACAGGACCAATACGCAGAAGTCAGTGTCTCTGGACTGATCACATGTATGTGGAAGTAATTTGAAATCTATAAAGAACCCTACAAATATGAAAAGATTGTCACTATTGAAGATAGCACCTGTCTTTATTTATCCTTGCCCCTGGCTGAGTGGTCCAGTTGGTTAGAGCATTGGCCCGTACACCAAAAGGTCGTGGGTTCAATTTCTGGTCAGGACGCATACCCAGGTTGTAGGTTCAAGCCCCAGGCAGGGTGCATATGGGAGGCAACTGATAGATGTTAGTCTCTCACATCGATGTTTCTCTCACCCTCCCTTCCTCTCTCTCTAAAAATCAATAAAAACATATCCTCGGGTGAGGAGTAAATCTATATATATAAAATCTTTCAGTTCAAGGAAAGATCCACTCTGGCAGAGAGCGTGTTAAGGTACTGAAAGTGCTTGTGAACTATGCTGGTTTTAGGCTGCTGCTCGCTTACTCCAAAATAGGGCGGGACTTTTACTACTTAGTTTCCTGAAATGTTCACTCTGATGTCAGTGTAATCTGTGAAGTCAAGTTTCTTTCAACACTGTGGTCATGTTGCAGGTTGGCTGAGTTTTACATTTAGAAAGGAGTGTGTGTGTGAATTGATTCCCAGTCAAGGGTGTGTGTGTGTGTGTGCGCGCACGCGCGTGTGTGTACTCACACAGTATACACAAATACACACACACACATTTATGTTTACAGCCCCATTACCAAGCTTTATTTTTCTCCACATCCTTTCTGCCATCTAATATCATATGTATTTTACTTGTTGATTTCTTCATTTTTTGTCTTTCTCACTGAAATGTGTTTTGTCTATTTTCTTCACAGCTGCATACTCAGTACCTAGAAGAGCGCCTAGTATTTGGTAAGTATCTGTCGATGGGGTGAAAGTGTGCATGTACATATTTATGTCAAGAATGGCTCCCGGCTCTGTCGTTCCAGTGGGAAGGCGAGGTCAGGAAGGCCCTCTCAGAACTTCCTGAATCTCAGCGTGAGGTGTTCTTGGGCCAAGAAACCAGTGGACACCAACAGGAAAAGAAAAACCGTCCCTAATAGTTGGGTGTCACCGGGAGGAGGGTGGGGTGGGATTGAGGACGTTACCTTTCCTGGGCATCCCTGGCTGCTGATGGGTCAGGCACACCTCTTCCTTCAAGAGAAGTGGCTGAATATATCTGGGTGACAGGTGACCCTTCCGGATGGCATAGAAGATGAGGTCCTCTGCAGCTGATAAGGCAGCTTGGCTGGGACTGCTACCTGAAAGAGGGTGACATGGAACCAAACTGTCAGCAAGAAACTCCAACCTGGCCTCAACCTGGAGGGAGGGTAATGCGACCACCTGAGCCTGAATAACTGATGGATGGGAAGAGAGGAAGCTGGTCCGGTAGCCAGGACAGGGCGCCTAACAGGCAGGGAACCCCTTGCACAGAGCTCTTCGAGGCCAAGTTGGTGACCTCTTTCAAGTGCCAAACTAATACTTGATCCACTCCATCTCCAGGAGGAGGAGCTGGGAGGCAATAAGAGCTACATGCAAAAGGAGGCCCCGCCGACCAATCCGGTACCTTAGCATGGAGAAAAGGGTGACAATACTCACTCAGTAGCTCCCACAATCGGGCAAGTGGCAAGTGCTCTTTTCATCCATTAACTCCTGCAACTCTCACAGAAAACCTCTGAGATAAACGCTGTTACTGGCCCCAGTCGGGCGATGGGGATCCTGGCCGGCGCCAGGCATTTACCTATTAGCTCTCCATTCCGTCCTGCCCTGTGCTCGCCTCTGTCTTGCAGGGGGCTAAACACCTGCAAAGGGCATTTCTCAGGCGTCCTTGCCTGCCAGCCTCTGGGTGGGTCCTCCCAACGGGAGACGGAGGACTAGAGAGGCCACGCTCTACTGCCTCTGCCTGGTGCTCAGCGTCACTTCCGATGCCAGAAGTGATGGCGAAACCGTGAGCTGGAGCAGTGCAGTGGGGGCGTCAGCAATCTCACGGGTGGGCAGACCGGAGAAGAGGAAGAGGGCAAAGAGGAGGCCATGCCATTGAATCCAAGTGAGGGAAAAACTTCAAGAGAGTATGAGGTAGGATGGAAAGAGAGGGGTGTGGGGAGCACTGAGATCTTGCTCCCCAGCATGTGGTCAGTTTGACTCAAATACATTCTATAAAAATTTGGTTAACAAAGAAGAGCCCTGGCTGGTGTTGCTCAGGGGTTAGAGCGTCAGCCCTCAGACCAAAAGATCACGCGTTTGATTCTCAGTCAAGGAAACATGGCTGGGTCGCGGGTTCCATCCCCGGCCCTGGTCGAGGGTTGTGCAGGAGGCAACCAAGGAATGTGTCTCTCTCTCTCTTTCTCTCTCTCTGTCTCTGCCTCCAACCTCCCTCCCTCCCTTCCACACTGCCTAAAAATCAAGGGAAAAAAATATTCTTGGATGAGGACTAATGAATAAATGAATGAAGAAGAAAAAGAAAAGAGAGGAGTGTGGAGACGAGGGAGCGAAGGAAGAGCGTAGAGACAACTCTACGCAGAGGCTCAGAAGGGATGACCATTACCTTCCTTGGTGCCAAAGAAGGCGAGGCCCAGGGAGATGCTGTTGTAGCCCTGGGTGTGCAGACCTTGGACATCCCAGCCGACACCTTCGTATACCCTGCCATCGTCCCCAACCAGGAAGCTGCCGGGCAAGGAAATGTGGACGGAATGGCAGGTCCCTGTAACAGGACCCCTCGCACCCATCCTTAGAAGGGGAGGGCTCTAGGCTGTCTGACCTGACAGTGTGTGTGTGCGTGGGGGGGGGGGGGAGGAGTAGCTTAGACTTCCCAGACGTCTGTGTTTCCCAGAACCTCACTTTAAGAATACTCATTTGGTTCCACATGAAATTTGTATGACTCTCAAGGACAAGGACATTGGTTTAACATTTCTCAAGGGCACAGAATTCAGCCATCAAGTTTTTAATGATGGGGTCAAGCACTTGAACATTTGAAACAACTGGGATTCAAGAATTCCTTTCTATTGACCTCTTCTTCCGTTTCTCCTTAGGAGTTCCTGTAAGCTCTTCTTTATCACAGAAACCTCATTTAGAATGTTCTTTTTTCCGTTTATTTTTAAAAACAAAGCTATCTATTCTTTTCTTCTAGCTCCTCCTTTCTTTCTGCCTCTATACCTTTCTCATCCTCCACCTTCCAACCTCAGTCTTCACAACTGATGGTGCCACGACTCTTGCCACATTCGGCCTTTAAGAGGCCGTGAGCTGCCACAGCAAACGGGACACAGAGGACACTCCCCTGGGGTCCCCCGAAGACCCTGCACCGAGATGGGCCTGCTGAAGGTGCGGGGGGGCCTCAGCACGTCCAGCACCCTCTGCTGCTGCAGCACCTCCATCAGTCCGATGTGGACGGTCCCTCAGGGCTACTGGCAGCTGCATCATTAAACTGTCACCTCTAAAACCTAACTCAGAGACAGTGGCTGAGACCCCCTAGGGATTCTGTGGCAGAAGAGGACGACCCAGCAGTGCCAGCAGCAGCGGTGGAGACCCCGTGCCAGGGCCAGCTGCTGAGCTGCGGTGGACACAGCTTCCGCGGAGGCTGGAGCAGACCCCACCCGGCGCCCAGGGACCCAGGGGGCCTCCAGCTGCTCTTACTTATTTACATCTAAAAATAAAGACAAGGGTTATGCTTTCCAAAATGGGTCAGTCAGAATGATTTACATTTGTCTTTAGAATTCAGGGAGGCAAGCCCTATTCCCAAACTCTCTCTCTCCATCTGTCTGTCTGTCTGTCTATCTATCTATCTGTCTCCTCGCTCTTGAAAACAAGGGGCCTGGGCCTCTGCTGAGAATCCTCAGGGGATACTCGGCCTCCGTGCCGCACACGTGTGCTACCTCGGGCTCTCCTCCCTCTACCCCAGGGCCACTCCTCCTGTCCAGTCTCGGGTGAGGTGGCCCTCAGGGCATCTGGTGGGGACTGCTTCTCAGGGCAAAGGCTTGTCTGTGCGGAAGGAGAAGGGCTAGCAGGCCGTCTGGGAACAGTTCGGGGCCCACGGCCGCAGCCTGGACTCGGAGCAAACTCTCTGAGCTGCCCAGGCCAGGCGTGTCTCCCTCCTGCCTGCGCCTCAGAGCGGCTGGGAGGACCCGGGGGAAGCCCTGCGGACCTCCTAAGCTCTAGTGTTCTATGTGCTGCTAGGAGCAGCCGTGGTCCCGACACCCCCTCCCCAGGCCACGGCCGAGTAAACGGCTCAGGGCCTCCCTAATGACCCCGGGAGGTTTTGGGATTTTGTTTGTTTTAGCATTTTGTACTTATTTTTGAAAAGCAAGGTGAATGGGAAGATGGGGAAAGAGGCCGGTGGGGCAGGGTCTTAGGGGTAACGAGCAGCGGCTCTTACTTGTACGCCACGTCGCACCAGCCTTGGGCATAGACGGACCAGGACTGGAGGCCCCGCAGCTTCTGGCTGCAGACTTGCTGCTCCTGACACTCCAGCCCCGAGAGCTGGGCCGTGGTGACATAGGCCACAGGTGGGGTCAGCGGGGCCCGGCAGGTCAGTGATCTCGCCCCCCACTCTGTGCGGGAGACGATGGTGGGGGCGCCTGCAGAGGGGACCGAAGGATGTCACACAGCCGCGCCCACCCCCCCCAGGCCCGCCGCCCTCGCCACCCTCATCCTCCCAGCAGAGCCTCTCCTGCCCTATGATGGTGGGACAGGCCCCGGGGGAGGCCTCTGCCACCCACCCGTCCCCTTCGCATCTCCACAGCCCATTTAGGCTAAAAAAAATTCCCCATCGGACTCTGTATTCAGCCTGGAAGTCAGGTTGCCTTGTTCTCCAAACACAGGCTGCTTGTACTTCCCTGGGAACAGCCCATCCTCAGCCCCTCTGGCCGGCTTCACCCTCGCGGCCTTCAGGGAGCAGCCCAGCAGCACCCACCGCGGGCCTGAGCGGCCTTCTCTGGCAGCGCCTCACGTGATGCTGTCCCCACCGGCACCCCCCTCCCCACCCCCACCCCCGACTCCGACTGTCTTCTGTCTGCCCTCCCAGCACCAAGGCGACCCTCAGGAAGGTCTGCCACTCCCCGCAAACTAGGGACTCCTGGCCCAGAGCCCCAGGAAGTTCCATGAGCACCAGGATGTCCCTCTCTTTCCAGTAAAAAGTACTGTGCGCAGGGCTGTGAGACCCCACCAAGACCCCAGGAGCCCTGAGACTCCCCGTCGGTGCCCATCTCGGGGCCCCTGGGTGCTCTCTGAGAGACAGGCTGTCTCCAACCCCCTACTGAGAGCTGGGAGCGGGCTTGTCTCCTCCCCGGAGTCTTCTCTCCTCCCAGGACCTCACCTAGGCCTGAGGGCTCAAGACAACCATGACACTCTGGCCAACGCTCCTCTTGGGATTCCATCTCCGCCCACCCAGCCAGCCGCATGAAGTCCTGAGGACCCTTCTGGCCACCTGCGAAGCCCCGCCAAGCCCCCAGCCACCTCACCATTGTGACCCTTGCGAATGAGCTGTGAGACGCCAACAAACAGGTCCACGAGCTTCTCTGACAGTTCCCTGGCTTGGGTGTCATTTCGGGAGAATCGAGGGGGATCCCCTACAAAGGAACATTGCCCACGGTGCTGGTGGTCCTCAGAGCACCTGGACCACCCCAGAGGCATGGACTCCACACCCCCCTCCCGCCACAGCCCACAGCCCCTCAGCCTCCCCAAATTCCCTGACTGCCTCTAGGAAGCAAGGCAGAGACGTTTCTGGCCTCAGCCTGCCTCTGCCTCTCACATCTGCCCTGTGCCCCCCCAACCCTCCCTCCATTCGAGGGGCTCTGCAGTCTCTCTGTCCCGTATCTGAGCAGCTCAGCCTTTCCCAGTTTACCTGCTTACCTATTAATAGGTCAGAATGTCACACACCAAAATGGTCATCGTCATTTTGAGCTAACACATACACATATATCAAGCACCTACTGATCCAGACAAGGTTCTTGAAATACACAAATTTTCCAGCTGTTGTGACTCCCCTCACAAGCTAGATGTTCTAGATCGGGCTAATTGAGGATTCGTCCTTACAAACATGCTTCACCCCTGCCTGCCTTCTAGTGCCTGAGATCACGGGAGCAATGGCCACTAGAACCATGCATGTCACCATCATCGCCTCCCACAGGCAAGCTCTGCAGGTTACAAAGCATTTTCAAGGATACTAGCAGATTTGTGGCTTAAAACAATTTTACAAAATAAACAAAGCAAATGAACTACTCCCTCTACACAGATGAGAAACTAAGGCTCAGGGAAGTTGTTACTTGTCTAAGATGATGCAGGTTTCAAGCCATGAACTTGGATTCCAACCCAAACTGTTTGGCCCCAGAGCCATGTTCATAACCACTACTCTCTGTGGCCTCTGACCTTAGACCACTGACCTTGCCAGATGACCTTGGACCAGTGACCTTGTGACAGCCACAGTGTGGCCTGTTTGTCTATAAGACAAGGTCAGTAAGAGTCTCCATCAAGGCTGAGATTCCACCCTTTTGTAAAATCCTCCATGACACTGAGGAGGAGGTGCGCTGGGCAGGCTAGAGAGGTTGAGGACTAGAGCCCGTCTCAGAGGAACGTAGGATTGGGGTGGGGTGGTGGTGATGACGACTCTGGAGAAGACAATTTGCTGATGCCAAAAGCACTTCTGACCCAATGGAAAAAACTTACCCCAGGCCTCGAGACCCAGAGCCGAGAAGACAAGAAGCCACAGCAGCATCCTCACGTGGTCCCAGGACACCAATGAGAAGAGTGTGGGCTGCAGACCTGGGGGGACACTGACTGTTAATCCAACCTGCTCTTCAAATGGGCTGCACCACCATTTGGGGCCCTGTCTGCCTCCCAGCCCAGCTGCCTCCCGGCCCGGCCTCCTCAAGGCCAGCACCTGCCCAGGATTCTCATGGTCCCCAACACGGGGCCTTACCCTCCACAGGTGCTCAGTAAAGGTGTCTAGGACCCACCCCACTCACCACTCATTACCCTGCGAGCTCCCGGTCCCTCGGAGGAGCACAGTGCCTCATCTCAGACCTTCCAGCGTAGATAATAACAATTTCTAAAATCCTTTAGTAGCTGTGTAGGTATTTTCACATCTAGTGCTGTAAATTTATATTTAATCCTTAAAAGTTCCTATAAGCTATTGCTAACTACATTTTTATAAGTGAGCACACTGAGGCTCCAAAGCAGTAAACTATAAGTGGGCGCAGGACTGACTTTATCCCCAGCACTATTTAAGGGTCAGAGGTGTGTTAGGTCATCCAATTTGATCAAAAGTCCCTACTGAGCAACAGTTACCACTCACTGCTCACACCCTGTAGTCCGGGTATTCGCTAAGGATGCCACAGACACTCCATTCAATTCCGTCACAGTGCCCTATGGGACCTGCTCTTTTCATCAGGAAACTGGGCCTCAGAGAGTCTAAGTCACATGCCTGAAGTGACCCAACCAGTAGGCGCAGAGCAGGGTCACAGCCAGGTCTGTCTGACTCCAGAGCCTCTGCCTGAAACTTCTCCGCCACCTGCTTCAGTCTCCGGTGGTGACGAGTCTCTGCGTAGACCCAAGAGGCTCCTCGCCAGGCCCTCCGTGGTCCTTTCCAGCTGTCAGGCAGACATGAATTCCTATCTATGCTCAGTCAAAATGAAATGTCAGCTCCCTGAGATGTCAACCAAAACGTCAGCTCTTCTCCCAGTGATCTCACTGAGAAACCACAGGGGGCGGATTGAGATAAAGCGGGAGATCACAGCCCTCCAGAGTTCTGTCTGGAAAATGTCTAGAACCGCGATTGAAGACTTAAGCATGTCGGGGCTTCCTAAATGAGAACAAGCAATCTCTTGGCAAACAATAGCCAAGATTTCATTCATTCGAAAAAACCGTCCTCATCACAGATGAGGGCAGCCACCTGAAAACGTGTGGGACAGCGTCCAGCCTCCCTCACGGGCCAAACTGAGGCAAGGACTGACTGCCAACATGAAAGCCGTGCAGGCTAGCCTCCTGCAGAGCTACCTGGACACCAGCAATCCATTCTGGCCAACAGGAGGTTTGCACCCTGGTCACTGACCGGGGTGCTTCCTCAGTCACAAATGTTACCTTGGCCAATGCTGTCCCGAGGTGTCACATCACACAGCTGAAACTGCAAGGCTTGAGCCCAACCTCTGATCATGCGGGGGTGTCCCCCACCCCCATTGGCATTCCCACCTCCAAACACTGAACGGGCAGGATGGGCTGGAGCCAAAGTTCAGCCACCTCGCGCGCGTTGCCATGCATTCTGTATACTTAAACTCAAGAAAAAATACAGAAAGGGAGACATAATACATAAAGATTCAGGGCTAGAGAGAAAGGAAAGAAATTGGGTAAAGACAAATCCATTTGTTTGACCCATAACAAATAGAGAAAAGTTTCTTGTTAGAAGAAAGAATTCAAGAGGGGAGATCAAGGCAACTTTCTCCATGATGTTAACATTTTAACCTGATAGAGTCCAGATCCTTCAATGAGAGAGGGCTTCCCAAGGAAAAACACTAACCCACACACACTCACAAATACCTGGGGATCCCATGCAGGTCAGGGTGCGGGCCGCTCACTCCTCATTGGCTGGCAACTTCTCCCTTTCAGATTTGGCCTCTGCCCTGCCCCCTTGTCCAGCAGCTGCCTCCTCTGGCCTTCACTCTCCCTCCACTAGAGGGCACTCCCTCCTGGGAATGGAGCCTCAGCTCTGGCTTCCCAGAGAGGAGGAAAGCTGGATCCCTAACAAACGCTGGAGAGAAGGGCAGACTCTGAGGCCGGGAGCCTGCTCCCTGCACAGCACTGAGAGGAACTCGGTGAAACCACACTGGGGCTGAGAGAGGGACCCGCCCTGTGAATAAGCCCAGGTGCCTCCTCCCCGGGAAAGGGCAAGATTGCCCAAGCTCCCTGAGCTCCTTCCTCTCCCAGCCCTCAGGAAGCCCAGCAACCTGGGAATGCGCATGGGGCCTGGCAGTTGTGTCCCACGTCTGGGAACTTCCTGCACTGGAGACAGATCTTCCCAGGAGTGAAGGCTGTAATGGAGGTCCCTCACCAACACCCTGCCCTCTTCCACGGAGTCACCAGCAGGGAGCATGCGGGAGGAGACATAGAAAGGAGCCTTCCAGCAGCTTTGCTATGCGTCATCACTAGAAGTTATTCTGACCCTATGGCCAACTGACCCATCGCCCTCCCTCCCCCATCTCAGCATCCAACTGCCTGAACGAAAGGCCTGAAGAAGCATTTTACAGACCAACGCTCTCCCCCTCTTGACTCACGCCTGATAGTCGCCTCAGTCTTCAGCTCTGATCTCCAAGAATCTTGCACCTTCTCTGAGGAAGTTCGTACCTAAGACTTTCCTTCTCTACCAAGGGTAACTGAGTTGCAGCTCTTGAAATGGGGGAGGTCAGACCAGAGGTCCTAAAAGGCCCGCCTGAGAGACGACTTAGCCATTGTGTTCCACACACTGATGGGCCCAAACCACATGTCAGTGACAAGACCTGGGATGATCTCTGCCTGAAGAAGACATGTTTGTGATCTCCATCCATATCCATAGTGGTGGGAGATCTTGGGTGAAGGCCTCAGAGAGAGCTAGCAAAGGGACCAGGAGTCACAGCTGGTGACAACGACAGAAACCACCTTAGTTTTCTTAAACCTTAGCAATATCCGGTGAACCCTGAGAAAGAAGATACCGACTAATAAGGGCTCATAGTAGCTAACTGGGCTCAAATTGAAACAAAAACAAAACAAACAAACAAACAAACAAAAGCAGAGCCTACCACCATTTCTAAACAGGGGCCTCTCAAACACACTGCACTTTAGGGAGGAGCATGCACTGAACTGTCTGCCATCTGAGCCAGCCCTTATAAAGGAATTCCTGGAATCCTTTTTCAACCAATAGGACTGAAGCTCCCTTAAATCCAATCTGAGCTATGCTGCTCCAAACAATCAGAGCATCTCTACTCTGACCAATCAAGATAGTGTCTTTTGACCAATCAAACTTTGAGACTCTAGAGCCCTCCTTTTCATGAGAATGGACCAATCAGGGACCAGAGGCGGAGACTTCTGTCTGTAGAAGGCAGCTCCTCCGGGTCAGAAGTGCACATTTCCTTCCCACAAAAGCCAGTTTCTGTGTCTGGAGAGGAGCAGACTGTGGGGGAGCAGAGTTAACTAGCCGAGGAAGAGGCTGGGCCCAGAGCTGCTCCTTAGCAGTTCTGTATGACAGGTTCCATAGCCACGCTGTTTTTGTTGTATCACAGTTGAGCTATTGCCACAACCCCGCTGTATCTGTATCACCATTGAGCTGTTATGCACTGAATTAAGTGTCCTTCTTCACTGCACCCCAAGTTGGTGTTCCTGTTAGCCTTAAACTGGCACCACCAGCCATCAAATGAAATTTTTATTTATGACTCTGGATGTTTTCTGTTGCAATTAGTAGAGACCCTTCAAAGGGCAGTGGTGTGTGAGCTGGTCTTTGGAACAGCCCATTAGGACTAGCTGAGGAGAGGGTCTCACCCTGAACTTCAGACTTGTAAGAAAGGAAACTCAAGTGATAAGGGAGCGGTGATAGCCCCAAAAGGGAAAGAAGAATAGGGACAACCCAGGGTCCCTGACTGAAAACTAAGGACGCCTGGGGACCCGCTGCAGGAAAGTCTGAGGCAAGGACATGGTTTGCTCACACGGTGTTTTTATGAGAATCAGAAAAGGTGCTACTTCCACAGTGACAACTTGTAGTTATTTATTTCTCAGTAAAAAGCATGATAAAGTGGTCACTTTCTCTAAGTCACATGAATCAAATTATTAAGCATAAAGCAGCACTTGAAGTTTTTAACTACAATAATTAAGAACCGAAAGTCACGGGAGTATAATTTATCGGGCTCTAGCTTCACTGGCACAGAAACAGAGCTCATGCTGATGGGGACGCCTACTTGATCCAGTGTCTCATCTTACAAACTGCTGACTGGTCTTCATTGGCCGTTTTAAACACATTTTCGCTTGAGAAGTAATATTCTCCACTAGTGACAGATATTAACCAAGTTAAATACATTTAAAAGCTACAAGTTTTCAGAAAGATGTCTAATATATATATATATATATTTTTTTGCTGCAAATATGGTCCAACTTCAGCACAATTCACATTAGATTGAGAAAATAACTGTCTCCACTCTTTCATACATAAATGTCTAATCAATATTGCCTTTCTTATTATGTTCATCAGTTAATTTCAACTACAAAATTATATCTAGTAGTAATAGTGCCTGTTCATCATAATTTTTCCAACTTTATATAAAATCTAAATACTGAAAAGGTCAGAATTTTTCTATCTGTATTGTAGGATTTTCCTTTTAAAATGATACTGTCATATTCAATTTTTTAAAAACGATTGAAACAGGTTGATTCAGAGGTGTGTTATAAGATTCACTGAAGTGAGTTTTTTTCCTGTTTTCTAGTATTTTCTACATTGGGGAAATTATTGGCATAGACAAGAGATTCTGAATTTATTAGCATCATTAATACATATTCTATAAACATTTTTGCCTCTCATTTCTTTAAATTGTCTGTTTTCAAGGACATTATGAACACTGAATTGTGATTCATACATAATTTTACTCATAAAAAATAGTTTACCAAACATTATGCCAAGTTAGTCCTGAGAAAATGGATTTTAAAACGGTTGTTTTAAAACATATACCTTATGCTCAGTTCTGAAATATATTTTTATTAAAGGCATTTATTTGATTTTTATGTCACAATGGTTTTTAATTAATTTTTGT